CTGTCTCTGCTGTTCTTGGAACACGTGAAATATATATCTTAGGGTACTAACTGGGCCCCGTTGTATCTCATTTCAGGTTTTTCTTTGTAAACAGTTTTGTGTGTGTATGTATGTATACATGTGTCTGTGCTTTATAAGAACTGTCAGAATTCTTAAGCCACATGTGAGAAGTGTTGCTTGGACAGATGTTTTAATTCTACTTGCTGATGGGATTAACTATGTTTATAGAGTTTTTACCTTTTGGACAGTGTGTTCTGACTGTACACAGTCCTAAGAAAAATGTAGAACACAAAAGGTTTTTATTTACAGAGAAGGCTGTCAGTGCATAACATTATATCTGGGATTCCCAAACTGTAGCATTTGCCTTAGCACAGCCAAGACCCTGTTCTTTCCCCATCTACAGGCCCATGAGTCTGTTGTTGCCCTGTTCTCCCTTCATCTCTGTACAGATTTGCTGTCACCAGAGCTCCAGACTCCTTGGCCCTGGCTTCACAGCCTTCGTTACTTGTCTTTATTTTTTCTTCTAGTTACTGTTTCATAGGATTCCCCTTCTAATAGCTTTCATACCTGATCCAGCCCAGCTGTGTAAAAGTTGAGAACAGACAGGTTTCTGTTCCTGTTACAGCTATGTTTTCTGTAAGGAACATATATATATTTCCAAGCTGACTATTCAATAAAGTGCAAGCATGCCTTTGCACTAGCAAAGTATACCAGAACATCTTAATGTGCTAAACTTTTTGAACAAGGGTAATGTCTTCCTTCACAGGTTTGTATATTGTGTTAGCATAGTGTGGTGCTGATCTGTCAGCTAATCCACAGAATCTATCACAGGAAGAGGGAATGGGAAGAATAGACTATTTCGTATTTATCTTCAGTCACAAAAGTGCATGTGTTTACTTACCTAATGATACTTTTGGCTAATGACTTTGAAATAACAAAGTAATTTGTGACTTGCAGGTTTACTTGATTCAAAGAGATGAAGAGTAGAAAAACCTTGAAAACATAAGTGCCAGTGAAGTTGTTAGATGTCAACGTTCTTATATTTTCTTTTAAAATTTTAAATCTAGTTCTTTGGAGTTTTGGTATACAGTATATTAAGGGTTAAAGTGAGCTTTACAGTAGAGAGCAAGTTTTAACTTAATTGTGGAATAGTAATAACTATCTTATTTTCTGAAACGTCCGTGTGGACATCAGACATGTTGGCAGCTAGGACCTGGGCTCCAGAAAATACGCTGCAGTGCTCTTAACTTGGTATATAGGGTTAAATACATTTCCTGTTCAAGAAAGTCCCAACTGTATATTTCAACGTGATTACATGTATAGTTGAAATGTCTTTTTGTCTTGTGGCTTATAGAATACCCTGTAATAAGACAAACTGAAGTGGTCCTTTCTATTAGAAGGGGGAAAACAAAGAAAACTCCAAAATCTGAAAATTTGAAATCGATTTCAAATTTGTTGGGTGTTCCCCTTTTGTAGTCTGTGGTGCACAAAAAGACCGAACACTTCTAATATTTGTGCACTGATAAACTGTGTCTGATCCACCGATTAACTGGAAAAAACTGCCTCTTTACCTTGTAAATATGCCTTGTTCTCTCAAGAAGAGATCTGTAAAATGCAAGTTCATATAAAAATGGTTACTGTTTTAAAGCAATGCAAGCATGGTGCTTTATACGATTTGTTGCTTTTCTGTCCTTCTAGATGGAAGAAGATAAGGGTTCAGTCAGCTCAGCATGTGACTTTGCTGAAAGCAGGCACAGAGGGGAGGACAATAGGCAACTGCTAGATCCATCTAGCCTACCCGACAGTTCTTACGTTCACTAGGTAGTACTCCCACTCTACCCTAATGTGTGTGTATATATATATTTACATATATCATATATAGACAGTCATAGAGCCATCTCCAAAATTCCCATATTTTTGATAACTACAAGAAAATTTGCATCATAGTATGTGGGTTTGATTTTTCCTTATCAAGCTGAATCACTCTTTAGTTCTGCACTTCAGTTGCTTTTTCATTTATTACATTAAATGGGCCATTATCATGTTTATTGTGATCCTGGAACTTACCTTATGAAAATACTTTATTTGCAGCCCAAATATGAATAGTACCAGATGTTGCTCGATACTTACTAATTTTTTCTAAAGCATTGTCTCTCCATTTCCTGAGCGTTTGTTTCAGGTCTTCAGAGAAGGACCATTATGCTCTACTGCCTTACCATGCCAGGTTTTACTTTGGTATAAAACTATGATCATAATTGTCTGCCACAGAGAGAAAACTGAGAAAAGGGATTCTTTAGCATAATATAAGTATCTTCCTTCCGTGTAGTGGATATAAATACAAAAATCGATGTTTACCAGGCAGTGATAAACTGTATTTACACATAAAATTCAATTTATTTTTATGTTGTCAATGCTCTCCCAATATTACTTTACTTTTAACTGTGACTTTGGTAACACAGAAATGTTGTTTCCAGGCTTATGTAAGGTCATATTTGCTGTTTTTAAAAAAGGATAATATTAAAGTTTCCATAAATCATGGTTCAAGCCTGATCCTAGTTTTTTGTGAGTATCTTAACTTGAGAAGAACAAGAAGGAGATGGTAGTGAAGAGGAGACATCAGCCTCCCAAAATGCAGAGCTGAGGGTTCACTCTGTGGAAGCTAGTTTGGGTTACTCTTGGTTTCTCTTTTTGCCAGTCTTTGAATAGTATGTAGGGCTGCTAGCGCTCAGGTCACCAGATTCGGGGTGGGAGGGGGCTGGGGAAAAGTCTGGTCGATGTGATCCTACATGCAACACCTGTAATATGACCCTTTGCAGTAACTTTACCTTGGTCTGCTACAGGATAATGGATGGGCTAAATAGTCTTTTTGAAATCCTAACTGTAGGAATGTGAGAGTTTGCTCTGTATTGCTGTGAACACAGCTGTGGAGATCACGGCATATGCAGCAGGGAGCTTGCTTTCTGACCTCTTAATAGGAATTCCTTCTGCTCTGTGTAATTTCTTGTCTGATACACTGTGAGTGCAGTGTGAAGTTGCTGTGAAGGTCATATCTGCTAGTACTGCAATGCTGCAAATTCTGCTGTTCCTAAGTGTGGTATCTTCTGTGACCAAATGTGATGGTCATCAGTTAAGGGTGTTCAGGGGACTAACACCTTGTGTTAGACTAAGTGGTTTGGTTTGGTTTTACCCAAACCCCCTTTTAGACCTCTCAGTTGCAAAGCTTCTGCCTCTCAGGTATTTACGGAAGTTCATTATCACAGTAAATGTTCATTTTCTGTCCAGAAGACCTCCCAAATGAGTGTGAGTTAGTCAGAAGTGTGTGTTCGTGTTCTGCCTTCACTCATGCATGGCCTCCGAGGAGCAGCAACTAAATCAAGGGTTTCAGTTTGTAATGCTTTCTGTAAGTTCATGCATTTGTTAACTGACAGTCCTGTAAGCATCACATTGCGCGGTGTGATGGGAAGATCCAGAGGGACCATGGGGAATGTGGAACAGAGCTGAGGAAGGGGCAGACGTAGGAAAAAATGCATGGAAACACCAGTTCTGCCTGTGTTGTGCTCCCTCCTTGTCTTACCAGTTGAGATTTTTCTCTTGGATTTCCAGATGCCTCGCTTCTGTTAGCTGTCTTTTCTTTATACTATAGGAATTGTTCTGTTATGAAGCTGTAATCTGTCCAGTTGCCTGTTTTGGGGGATTAGGAAGCAATGTGTCTGCTCATAGTAAACCATTCCCATAGGAAACTGAGGTTCTTTGCTTTCCTTGCAGTGTTGGGCAAGTGTGGGTGGCATGAAAGAAATCGGGGTTGGGAACCGAAGTCTTTAGACAATAGTCAGCAACCGTTAACCACACAGTGAAAAGTTGGGGGAAGCTCTTAAGTAAGCTGTGTCTTATCATAGACTAAGATGCCTCCTCCCAGATTTCCTCATTCACTGGTGTCTGAGAGAGAGATGAGGGTAACGGATGCTTAAATTTAGCTTGTGTTCAGCATTTGTTTGACAGGATGCTCTCATGCAGTATTTCAAATTAAATTAAAAAGCATCCCCAACACTCCACATTTTTATTGCCTTGTGGAAAGGATATTGAAGTCAGTTTTGGGTATTCTCTTTCCAGCAGTATTAGATTTCAGTTAGATTTTAGTTATGCTGCTGTTAACTAGTGCGCAAAAATAATATGGAGGAGCACACTGATAGATGGCACTTAACTTAAACCCATACATCTCTGTGTTATTTTTTCATTTTGTTTGGGTCTTTTTCTCACCTACTAAGAATGAACAGTAGACAGTTTATTATGCTAATGTTGAATTATTCTTCATGCTGGCATGAACATGACTGAACCTTTCTAACATCAACCTTGCTTGCATTTAGAGAAAAGATAATTCACAAAATCAGGAATGTGCTTTTTGTTCCTTACCAAGCCAAGGGTATCTATGGTAGAGATATAATGTAAATTCTTACAAGAAGTTGCATTCTGTGCTTCTTGAGGAAAAATCACTACTTACAATTGGGTTGCTGCATTGTATTCTGCAGCCCTGGTCTGAAGCTCTCTTTTGATAGATTTCCCTTAAAATAGGGCAGACCTGCAGCTTGTATAAATTGTTGTACCTCTGCTGAGCTTAATCAAGGCATCACAGCTTAAACTGCATGATGCTCTGCTCCAGAGATTCATTATAGGTGTAACACGGAGAATTGCTAACCAGTTTATTTCCAACATTAAGCAGAGATGGTGCTAAACGATTTCCATCCGCCTACCAAGGCTGTGTGCAAACCATGGGAAGATCAAATTTCAGTGTGTATAGGCCTTAAGAAGGGAAATGGTAATGTTATTAATCGTTGTAGTTCTATATCGAAAAATGTTAAAATAAAAAATTGAAAAATACTCAACACTCTAACTTTAAGAAAACCTGCTTTTCCTGAGTGTTTTTTGATACCATCTTCATTGTTAGAATCTGTGAGTACTGATTTATTTTTTTTCATTTTATGCTTTTTTTTTCCCCTTTCCAGCTTACTGAGGCAGGTTCAGGTATCAGCTGCTTGGACTCCATGTGCTGCTTCTCAGATGGGGAGACAGCATGCACATCTGTTAGAAGAATGCTGGAACGACTAATGGGAAGATGTAGTCCAACCCGGGTCAACAGGTGTGGCATTTCTCTCAATAGCCTTTGCCGCAGACGATTCTCCTATAAACTGGAACCTGATGAGCCTGCAGCAATAGATGTCTAGCAAACCAGCTGCAGGTTTTGCTTATTTAAGTAGGAAATTCAACTCTTTATTGTACTTTTTTCATCCTAAAAGATAGTTTCTTGTTTCTTTTTGAGTGCTTTCTTTTGGGATGGGGAGGGGGAAAAACAGTTTTCAAAAGATTTCTGTTAAAACGTTTAGTTTGGCTTACTTCAAGTAAGTACTTGTGTCTGTCATAATTTCTCTTGATTTGTACGTTCTTCTCTTTAGAAAATCGAGCTTGCTGCTGGTTTTGTTCTCCTTTTTATGATTTTTTTTTTTTTTTGCCTTCACAAATCAGGAGTTGTTTGTAAAGTCAAAAGACTTTTCCCTTTGGTTCTTGATGTACAACCTCCAAATATTTACCTTGGAGCTTGCATTACTCCTGAAGATATACAAAAGGCTCACATTCCCCTCCTTAAATACAGCTTCATTGTTAGGAGAGTCTTTAAATCTTTCAGCCATTGATTGATATGAAGATGAAATATTTTTGTAGTATAACTTTTATAATGTATTTCTAAAATCAGAGTAATTGACAGAACACAGCCTTCGGCTTCTAAGAATTTTAAACGCTTTTTTTTGTTCTCTAGAAGGTATATTGTCAAAATCATGTGTGCCATTCCAAAGTATGTGCTAAATAAATCTTTTTTGCTTCACGAGCCACATGTGAAACAAACCTCAATGGGATAAAAGCACGTTAGAGTAATCGAATATGTCTAGAGCTCTTGCAGTCAGTCTAACTGTGAGATGCTTTCACTAAATCTGCTAATGTGCCATTTCCCCATTTCCAAATAAAGAGGGATAGCTGACAAACATGGAAATATTTGGGGGTAGAAATAAAAATAGTCTTTTGTACATTGTAATCTCTCAGTCCCTGAATGATATCATGGTCCTTCATTGGTCAAAAGGCAAACCCGAAAAAGTTGAACTTCACACGTTTTCAAGGAAACTCATTTTGTATTTGAACAACTTGTCTCTTTTGGTTAAAGGTTGTGATATCATTCATTCGCTATAAAATCTTGTGTGGGTAATTTTCACTGACGAGCGTTGTCAGTTCCGATTCTGCCTTTAGGTGTTGACTTGGTATGTAGTACATCTCTGCTTCGGACTCTTGTGTTGAACACAGTGTCTGTGGTTTCAGTTTCTCCCTTCTGGCTTGCTTATGAAACCTATTCAATGTTTCTACAGATCTAGGGTGTGATTATGCAAAATGTTTCATTCCATATGAAAAATGAGCTGTTATGATTAAGTACACTTTTAATTCAAACTCTTGTTGTATAGAAAGTGGGCATGATGTATAAAATAAACAATTTAATAGAATTTTTAATCTACAAGGTGAACATTTAATTGGTCTAAAAATCAACATTTTGGTAGCAGTTGCTCTAAGTTTTTTGGGTTTTTTTCCACTTCTCTGTAAAACTGTGCTTTCCAAATGAGGGATTTCTCATGCAAATTTTTTTCATTTATTGTTATCTAATTAGGGCAGATTTTTAGTGTAACATTTGCCTTTAGTAACGTACAAGTCTTATAAGGTAGGTATTCTGTGTTTTATTTTCTACAATGCATTTGCATTTTTTATAATTTCCTCTTTTTTCCACTCAATTTTTCTTTCTTTAAGAACTTACAAATATTTATTGAAGATAACTCATATTTGACAGAATATTAAACAGTTTCGAAGACTGCTTTTTCTCAGGTTTCCTTGTCTGCTTACCTCATGTTACTCTCAGATGAAGTTCCATGTAGCTGAATAATTTTGAGTTGTTAGAACACCTAAGTTAGTATTATGTTTAATGAATATGCAAAACTATCTTGGTGCTACACTAAGGGCTTGAAGTTCTGTAGTTTTTGCTTCTGCCTCTGGTTGAAATTACTCTGAACCATCTTCTAGTTTCACTTAAATTTATGTACAGTACAACTAGGAAAGACTTTTTTTAAACTTCAGTCTTGTTTTCTTCAGTGGCTTCAGCTCCTTCCACTCAGCATTGACATTTAAACTAGTCTAAAAGTCAAGGCACTAAGACTATGTTTTCCCCTGCACTTTCCTGGTAATATGTGAAAGTCTTTCCTTATTTTTTAATGTACTAATTGCTTAAATCACATGAGGCAGTTACAAGTTGTGAAATCCTGAAGGTACAGTTAAGAAATTTATTTGGTGATTTAAAAATGCTTGGAAAACTGTTTAGCCTTTGTTCACGAGCTTGAGCTGTTTTGATTTTTACCTAAAGCTGATATCTTCAGAAGGTTGTACAGTCCCAGACAGGATGGATAAAACAGCTGCTTATTCAACCAGGAGGTAGCTGCAAATTATTTTTGTTGAATGAAGTGATGCTGGTAAATACATTGTCTGAGTGCCGCTGTAGAATGAAGAGCGCTATTTTAAATAATGTTGCTGTAGCTAGTTTGCGTTGTATTCCGAGCTCCTGATATTCTGTCAAATATGATATTCTGTCAGATACGATAACTGAACATGAAATCAAGCATGGTGTCAAATTTTGATAAAAACTTGGATGAATCAAAGTTGTACAAATGCTTGGAGTAGCGGGCCACAGGAATACAGTCCTTTGTACTTAATTTACTGCTTGTAAAACGTATTTGAGAAGTATTTGCTATAGCTTCATTCACCAGTTAGAATATAAAATGTGTGGTGTGGTATGATAAAATGCATTTTTGTCTGTCTGTTCCATTAAATTGTCTGTCAACTTGTCACTAAAATATTAAGAGTGCTGGATCACATACTCTTCTTGTACAGTAGGATTCATTACTGCATTGTTCAGATCTCCCATTAGTGGTACTCATGTCAAGGCACCGCATGGGAAAGTTCTAAAGAAACAGCAGATTTCTGACAGAGGCAGATTTGGAGGATAAGTTTGTTACATTTTGATGTCCTGCCTTGCAACCTTCTATTTTTCAGCTTCAATCCTGTAATAGCGTTAACAAAGAACAGTATTTCTTCCTACGTAGTAATTTGTCCTTAAGAGAAGGACACTGTGAGATCCCAACTGAATCAAAAGCTGTGACATGTTAGGTAGTTTTCCTGATGCCTTAAATTTTAACTTTAACCGTAAGGGATGAAATAGATTCCTGGCACTAGGTAAAGTGTGCCTACCCACAACTTTAGACAGCGTGGACGTTTAACATGAGAACACCAGTATACTGGGTGACCACGGTTAGCTGTGCGTACCACAAGGCTTTACTAGAATGACCTCAGGCTAAATCAGATTGTAGCATTCACAGTGCCTCAACTTAGACATGCAACATTCAGATTTCCTTTGAGGCACAATATAAAAAACTTCAGTTGTAAAACTAGTCATTTTACGTCATAGTGATGAAAATATCTGTAGCCGTGAGTAAACATAGAATTATTAATGACATAGTTGGGCATGATTAATTGCAGTATATTTCCAAAGGTTTGAATGAATTGCAGGTGCCTCCGTGAACTTAATAGATTAGTCTTTTATGAGATTAGGCAAGTGTAACTCTTTAACACTCTTATTTCTTGCTTTCATAGACTTTTCTCCTCATCTCTAGATTGTAAGTTCCCAGTCAGCCAAATTTTTCTTTTATCGTTACTTTAGATCATGGAGTTCATCGGATCCCTTCTATGCCAACGACAGAAGCATCTTGACTCTCTCCACAATGGACTCACCCACTTGTTAACAGGGACATTTGTAAATGCCTTGTGGAAGCCATGTGGTGCTCACACACCTATAGTAGGTTCTGAAGTGAGTTCAGTGCTACATCCCTGCCCCCTAGAAAAGACTAGCGTGACTTCTGAGTACAAACCGTGGCTTGTCGTGTGGCCTAGCATAAGTCATCTGGACAGTAATCGCTTCCAGTATTTTTTTTTAAGTATATCCACAAATTTCGAAAATTTTTTTTTTTCTCCTAAGGAATGCTTTTACCTCTGACCATGTACCATGTAATCTTTTTTGTTACCATATGAGCAGTTTGGAATCCTGCATTTGATACTTGCGATGTCACTGTGGTGCAGTGACAAAATCGTTCTTCCAAATTTGAGTGATCCAATAGAACTGAATTTGCACAATGAAACTTGAAAAAGTTACATTTTTCATGATGACCCTTCACTTTAAACGCACACACATTCATTTTTGAGCTGTCTTTTACAGATGCTGTCTTAGCAGTTTGCAAATGAATTTTGTTATTTCCATGGACGGTTACTGTATTCTGTAAGAGATCAGTTTAGTAATTCTTGAGAGTTAAATACAATTCAAATATTTATGCTGGTGTATGAATGGCAATATATTAGTCATTGCTTTGAAAAACACTGTTAACTTTGACAAATCAATAATTTGGAATAATAAGGGATACAACAGTTGACTGTTCTCTTAAAGTATAATTCAGAAGACAGCTGTCTCTTACTATGCCCTGTGTGTTTTGATCCTGACACGGAAAAATGTGTAAAAATTGGTGGATTGTGCAGAAGTCTCACTAGCATAAATTTTTTGAATTAGTAATCCTTTTAAGACTGGGGAATTTTTGCATGTTTTATTCTTTTTCATGTATTTATATTTTGTCATGTTGTACTTTTGAAGATAATGCATAATTAATCTTCATATATCTGAAGGATCCGAGACATTGATGGCCATGTTTTGATACCTAAGTATGCCAATAAAAACAAATTGCACAGATGGAGCTTTGAATGGTACATCTTGCAGGTACATCTGTTGCCCCAGTGTAAATGTGTCTGCGTGTTTGGGGCTGGGTAGCAACATTTGCCTGTCCCTTCAGCTAGGATCACTAAACCTGTGGGTTGTCTTTAGATGTGGGAGATAAAATGGAGGTGCTGCCACCAGGGGCATCTGTAGAGCATTGCTTTAGGCATGGCAATTTGTACAGCTAGATGCTGGTAAAAATGCCGCTGCTTCTGGACCCTTGTTTTGATACCCAATTTTAATCCAGTCTCTGACATTGAAGTCCCATCCATAGTTGGAAGAATCTTCCTGTCAGAGAGTAAAAGATGTAAAGCTGCATGTTAAAATTACCTCTGAGCCGAATAAACTGTAAATCGAACACAGACTGTAAAGAACACCTACAAGAACCTCTTTATTAAAGATGTGGCTAAGCATAGGTTTTGGACAAAACCAGTATTAGTTGCTTTCACCCTGCCTGCACAAGTTTCCAGTGTTGGCTTAAGTGCTGTCTCCCAAGCAAATTACATGGCAAATATTTTTTATTTCATAATTCAGGCAGACAAGTCTTACCCTCCTGGTATGGTATCTCAGTGGAGCCTGGGCTGCTGCCAGAGGAGCGTACCCCTTTAGTTACAAATTGTCCCGAGTTCTCCTGCAGGAGAGGAAGTGGTCAAGAGGTCTGACTCGTATCAAATGCTGCAGATGTTCCTTACCTATGAACACCTCTGCAGTTCATTATTCTTGTTCACGACTTTAACTGGTATTATTTCAGTTCTCCTCTTGGAACTTTATTTTGGCATTAATGACTGGAAGCTTCACTGTCAACCAAAGGCTGCAGGTACTGCAGGATTTTCAAGGTCTCATTGTTCAAGGCAAAGTTCTTGTTGTAAAGAAATTGTCACTGCAGCCTTGTTTTGAAACTTGTAATGACTTGAACGTGCAGTACATGAGGTTTTTGTCCCACTGGTATAGATGAAGACGGTTCACAAATAGATTAAGAAGCTCTAAAAATGAACTATGAAACAGAAGAAACAAAATGTAGCAAATTTTCCTTTTAAATAAGTGTTTCATTCCGTGTTCATAGCTCATGTCCCTTGCAAATGTCAGTTGTACACCAGATCCCCACATTGAGTGTCCAGATGGTTAAGAATCACTGAAAATTGAGTCTTGCATAGTCCTTGTAATAGGTATTAATGCGGGACTGGTCTGTCTGCATGCAGTTTGAAACGCGGTTCCCATGCGGAGATGCAATGAACTGATTGTCATCTCTCCAGTCTCCAAGAAAACTTTTATCCAATATGCAGTAGTAACAAAATGCACTTGGATTTCACCTGCTCCTGTAACTTTTCTATAGCTCATATCTATCTATATATATAAAAATATATTAAATCTGTTTTTAAAATAATTCTTTTCTTCTTAGTAGTTTCTCAGTCTTAAGAGTCTTCATACTGCCATGGATGCCTAGGAAATACAGACTTTTTTTCAGATGCTCTAATCAGATATCTGCTGTTTAGCTGTATCTTTTATGTCTAAATCGGTGTTTCACTTTTCAGATGTACTTGTTTGTCCGTGTCTGCCGTAGCATTCTAATCATCCAGTCAGTTTGTGTGGCCATGTAACCTCATTAGTCTGTGTGGTTAGTGTATCACCTATGGAAATGTAAACTGTGGTTAATGTTGTATAGTAGAAGGTAGAGCCTTTGATACACAACCCTGCTCCAAGCATTTAGATTGGCTCAGCTCTGTATGTACATGTATTTTTGGCTTTTACCATGCAAATATGTTGTTTATATTTGCACAAAAGAGGCACAGTCCTATATTTGAAGAATAATTTACATGCATTATGTGTTTCTTTAAAACCTTCCATCTCCTCTTCTCCCTTTCCCCCTACTTTCCCTTTTCCCAGTGTTTGTAAGGTTACCGAAGAAACACGCATTTAAACAATTCAGGAAGAACTTAAGAATCCATCTGTCTGCCAAGGTATATTTTTCTATTTGCAGTAAATCTACATCAGTGATCTCTCATTTAGTAAGAATGTAAAATTGGTTTGCATAGGAACATATTTTTTAGTCTGACAAATATTTTGGATGGAAGAGGCGACTGTGTGTTTTGTACTGATGTGTCAAATCTTTTAAAATTGCTTCTATTCAAGGAAGAAAGATTTTGTGTATTGCTTTGACAGCTGAAGTGTATGAAACCGTTCACTGTGCGTCCGGTACAGTGTAGAATTCTTCATGAAGAAGACTGAACAAAATACAGCTAATTCGGTGTAACGCTAGCATTCTTCTCATTCTTCTCTCTGATTTAGAGTGAATGGGTGAGGGGGAGTTTGCCCTAGCGAGGAAGTGTTTTAGAATTACCTCTTACCCTTGAAATCTGTAACGGGTGGCAGAAAAGCCTATAGTAGAGGTTCTTAGTCGAAAGCAAGAATGATGTATAGTTGCTTTACTATGCAGTGTCTGAAGAAGCACCTTCTCCATAGCGCCCTTCAGAACGGGACCGAGTTCTCAGCAGATTTTAGTTCTTGGTCTGTGAAAAATAGGGCTTGGTTTTGTTAGTTAGAAAAACATATTTTTAGTTGCTAAATTTACGCTTTTTAAAGGGTGCAGTGGAAGAGATTAAGAAAGTGGGAAGAGGTTTGTTTCACAAACTAAAATGTAAATATTCTGCTTAAAATAGTATGTATTTTTTTTTAAGGTTGTGGGGGGAGGGGGGAACAATGCAAAGGAACGCTGAAGACTCTGGCTTTACATTTTTCAGAATGATTTCTTGTTTTCTAGTGCAAAAGATGATTTGAGTAAAGATTATGCAACTTAGAATGCATATTGGGCAACTATAATTTCTTACCATGGAAACCTTTGGTAATGCTTTCAAAAGCCTGTTTTTTATGGCAGTATAACTTCTATATTGGGGAAAAAAATCTCATTTTCTAGTGTTAGAAATGTCTCAAAGCTGTAGTCTACATTATTTTTAATAGTTTTATCTGACACTTCTGTAGTTCTAAATAGTAGTGATTTTGGTGAAATTCAGCATTCAAAAGCACTCAATCCCAAGGGGCTTTCTGAAACATTTATTTTGAGATTCCTGTTTTTGTGGTGTAGAATACCTAATAGCAACTCTCACACCATCGTCACTGCGCTTGCCACTGCCTTGTTCCACAGGTATCGTTGTACTTTACTTAAAGGAGTTATTCCTAGAGCTGAGCGAACTGTTCCTTATGGACTAATTCTAGCTTTGCTTTGTTCCTAAATTACTTCCCTGTTAGACTTTCTTCTTTGCAGAGCTGAGGGGTTTTTTTGTGAACATTTTTATTGTTGGTTGTTCTGTATGTTCTTTGCTTCTGTTGTTTGCTTCCAGTGGCATGCTTTGTCTGGTTTCTGCTCTCTCTTGGAATGACTCGATTTGTAACAGGAGGAGGAAAGAGTGGATGCTCACGGCTGTATCAGCTCCTGCCGTCCATCATCGTAGAAGCGCATTCGCATCGGTATTCGCAAGGCTTCTGCTTTCCATAGATTCTTTTTCCTTCAGCTAAATATTGCTCATAGAGGCATCAGAAATAACTCAGTGGAGAGACCTTGTGTGCTGCCCAAGCTTCTGTGGCTTTTTTTAAAAGGAATGTTCTCATCACTTAGAAGTATTCGCCTTGCTCTAGCTGTTGCCATGCTCTGATGTTTTATTACAATAAGTACATACAATTGTCATCACAGTACATAGATGGGACTATTTTTGTTGTTTCCAGTTTGTATAAATGCATAGATGTGAATAAAAGCAGAGGGGCCATAGGCTAAAGAGCGCTCTATGTAACATGAAGGGGAAAGAAATGAAATACGCTGCTGTTTGTGACACACAGTGTTGACTTGTCTGAAAGAAACGCTGAGGTGCACCTCAGCGGCCTGTGGTGTACAGCAGTTCTTCCTCAGCAGTTTTAAAGGAAATTACTTCACAACCTCTTTACATTTTGGCACAGGGATAAAAGATAATCCATGGGGCATACAGTTTAGAAAAGGGAAAATGGTTAAAAATGAGACTTGCTTTCAGGTAGAAATAAGATACTGTTACTGCAGCAAAGAACATATGTTTACAATTCACAGTTACAGTTCTATGACAGATTTTGGGTCCTATGCACACAAAAATAACAAATCATCCAGATGTGTTTTTTCACTGAAGCATGATCAAGTTCTGCTGCTTTTTTGAAGAAAAACTTGAATGGTATCATCTCTGCAAGTACCTTTTTAAAGATGTTGCTCCTTAATTTTAGGCAAATAAGGTGCATTGACAAC